TCCGCCTCCTGGGTGCAGGCAATTCTCCTGCCTCAGCCTCCTGAGTAGCTGGGATTACAGGCACGCGCCACCATGCCCAGCTAATTTTTTTTGTATTTTTAGTAGAGACGGGGTTTCACCATGTTGACCAGGATGGTCTTGATCTCTTGACCTCATGATCCACCAGCCTCAGCCTCGCAAAGTGCTGGGATTACAGGCTTGAGCCACCGCACCTGGCCTATACCTACATTTTTAATTCTTCTTTACAGGCAAGGAAATGGAAGCTCTACAGGTTTAAGTGTCTCACCCAAAGTGACACGGTTGTAAAGAAACTGAAATATGATTTGAACCCAAAACTATTTAATTCCAAAATAAGTGGCCTTAATTACTCTTTACTCATTTACTTGATTATTGTCTGTGTCTGCCTGTCAACCATCACGCTTACCACTCACCTGACAAGTAGTACGTCCTAAATAAATGTTTGTAGAATGGACAAATACTATCTTCCCTTGAGGCACGGAGATTGGAGGCCTCATGGTGGAACAGGAGCAGATCAGTGCTTCGCTTCACAGTTCACTGAAATATCCAGACCAGTGTCCTTGTGGCTCCTAAGGAGTGCAGACAACTTTGGAGTCCCTGGTAAAAAAGCAGGAATTCCTTGCTTACATGGCAGAAACATTTCATGTTGAGACTTTCGTAGTCTTCTTCCTTCTTCTTTTTTTATTTTGCTGTTTCTCTTTCATTCTTTCCTTCCTTCCTTTCTTCTTTTCCCTCCTTCCTTCCTTCCTGCCTGCATGCAAGCTAGATCAACCAGTTTGAGTAGTTACAAAATGAGAAAATCTGAATCAAACATGTTTCAGAGGGGAGGAACTAAATCTAGCCTCAAATGAGACGCGTATTTTCCAAAACAGCAAAGCCTTTAAAAATTATGGGCAACATTGTTTTCCTTTTTCTATCAGGACACCAAAATCAAGTCTACAGGTGTCTGATTTTCATAGACTTCATAGATTTTGGGGCATGCCTCAGCACCCAGCCTCATACCTCCTCTTCTCTTAGATTCAGTCCCTTCTCCTAAGTTGGGAGGTTGTCTGGACAGTGTCCTTGTCATCTGCGTTGCTCCTCTCCCCACCACCCACGTGCATTTGTCCCATCATCTCTCAGTGCACTTCCCCCAGGATGTTCTGGCCACACTGATCAGGTGTCTCCATCTCTGCCCCTTCTCTTTCCCCTGAGTACTGTCCAGTGTTTGCTGGAACCTGTGAACTTCTTGTGAATGATAACTACTAAGAGCTTCTCAAAAGGAACCTCCATGTTCTAAACAGAACCCGCAGTCAGGATTCCAGGGAAGGTCAGCTGGCTCCCACCCCCAGAAGCACGCTTCTCTGTAAGAGGTTGTCCATGGAACATCAATATCACTTGGGGCCTTGGAAAGACATCCAGAAAGGGAGTTACCAAGTTTGCATTTCTGGAGATGTGTTTAGTAGGGAAAAGTCAATATAATACATGAATGAGCCACTGATTTCTAGAAGGCTCATGAATGTTTCTTTTTGAAACTCAGGACTGGACCTCTGAATCAGTGCAGAACATAAATGAGAGAGGTCAGGGGAGTTCTGGAGGATGCAGATGAAGGTTGGAGGGCTTGCAGTCACCCACATGTGCTTATCTCTAAGTGGTAAGAATGCACGGGCAGCAGGACCTGGCTTATCACTACCCTATATTTGTTACAGGAGAGATGACCTTCCTGCCACAGGTCAGAGCTTTTGTTAAGGTGACAGTGCAGGATGCCTTCTTACTCCTGACTTCTTGCTGTAAATAGAGTTCCTGAGTGGCGTTGGTTTGTTTCTAATTGGGAAGCCAGTTCAATCATGTGTTTCACTAGATTCAAGTTTGCTGAAAATACTGGCAAATCCCCTAACTAATAAGTCACTATAAGTTACTCAAGGGCATCAGTCCTGCTCCCCGAATAAAAGAGTACTGGTGCTGAGGAAATGGGACCACATAAATAAGGAACAAAAGTGATATGATGGGCCATGATGGTGTGATGAGTATCCCAGTGATCGCTTTGGGTAAATTTTGCTGGTCATATTGGTTTCAGTTCCTCTATGTAGACAAGGAAATGCTCCTCATGACTGACAAAAGCTCTTGCACCAAGGCTGCCTAGTCATTAGAATGGTCTCTAGAAGACAGTATCATCAGCAATCACTGTTAGCAAGGAGCCTGCTTCTGTGGTGCTGTGTTGCTGCTAATAGCTTTTGTTAGAGCAACTGCAGTGTGGGAGACCTGATCCAGGGAAAGCAGAAACCAAAGCCTGTGCTTCCAAGGAGGTTATGAGAAATGAAGAAACAATACCAGCCCCTCTGCAGGAGGAAGCTGGAAATGTTTGGAAGGGCCACCCATGGCTAGAGCCCCAGCACTTGAGTCATGACTCACCCTGAGCAGGTCAAGTGCAGGCCCCATTTCTTCAGGCCTTGGTTGTGAATCACACCCTGGATTCTTCTCTTCCAGGTATATCCCAGTTGCCACGATGCTCCATGAGTCAATGAGCTCTTTGGTCTGCTCTTCTGCTCAAGGAAAGCAAGAACCAAGGTGGCAGAACACGGATATATCCTGCAGGTGCTCCCGACATCTCTCCTGGCTCAGGTGCCAGAGGCTTGGAGTTTTCCAGCTCTTGACCTCACACCCTCGAATGTTTGTTTTCCAATTCCTTCATGAATAACAAGGTGAACATGGTATCCCTCCTGCTGGTGAATGGGGTTCCCGAGAGCTGAGGCCACAGTCCAGATTCTGAGGCTTTTCAGCAAGCAGGTGCTGTAGAGCAAACCACTCACTCGCAACTCTCTCTTTCTCTTTCAAATTTGGGAAAGAGGAGGCCATCTAAGCAGTTTCTCTCACACTCCCCAGTAAGGAAATCACAAAGAATCAAGCGAGCTCTAAGCGCCCAGTAGAAATATTCAGCTGTCCCAATGAATTTCTTGCGATCCTGAAATCTACAAAGTTAGAACCAAGACAGATGTAGGTACTCCAGTTATACAACACCACAAAATAGTGCTTCTATTTCATAAAATAATAAGTTTAAAAACTGCTGTGGTTTCCGTGTCTGCGCCCTCCAAATCTCTCATTGGAACTTATCTCCAATGTGGCAGCATTAAAATGTGGGGCATTTAAGAGGTGATTAGCTCACAGGAGCTTTTCCCTAATGATAAATAGATTAATCCATTCATGGAATAATGAGTTAATAGGTTATCTTGAGAATAAGACTGATGCCTTTTGTGTGCGTGTGCTTTTCTTACAGACAGACTCTCGCTCTGTCACCCAGGCTGGAGTTCAGGGGAGCGATTTCAGCTTGGCTCACTGCAACCTCCACCTCCCAGGTTCAAGAGATTCTCCCACCTCAGTCTCCCAAGTAGCTGGGATTACAGGCGTGCACCACCATGCCCCACTAAATTGTGTATTTTTCATAGAGACAGGGTTTCACTCTATTGGCCAGGCTGGTCTCGAACTCCTGACCTCAAGTGATCTGCCTGCCTTGGCCTCCCAAAGTGCTAGGATTACACGCGTGAGCCATGGTGCCCAGCCGGGACTGATGGCTTTAAAAGAAGGGGAAGAGAGACCCGAGATAGGACACTCAGTCCCCTGTAATGTCCTGTGCCACCTTTGGCCTCTGCAAAGAATCCCCACAAGCAAGAAGGCCCCCTCACAAGATGCACTCCTGGACCTCAGACTTTCCAGACTCTAAAACTGTAAGAAATAAATGTTGTTGCTCATAAATTACACAGTGCCAGGTATTCTGTTATTAGCATCAGAAAAGAGACTAGGACAGATATCAGTTAGATTGTATTCTACATGCTCTGACTGGTTCTCCAGGGAAGTCATGCATAAAAAGAGGAATAATCTCTAAATACAGTAAACAAATTCCTGCAGATAGGAAATATAATGGTGGATGCCTGCGCTAGGAGAGGGGGAATGGAACTTATCTTCTTCAGTTCAGGAAGTTAAGTTCTGGGATAAACAAGGAGTAATGGGAACACAAGGTGAATGTACTTCATGGCACTGAATTATACACTTAAAATTGATTAAAATGGTACTTGCTATGTTAGGCATATTTTAACCACTTAGAAAAGTATAGGTGATTGCGCTTTAAAAGAATTATCAGTTTAATCTTCAGTAGAAATCAATTGACAACAAATACACAGTGATTTCATTTTTAACAAAGTCAAAATATGCATAAGAAAAGGTCATGGGCCAGGCGCGGTCGCTCACGCCTATAATCCCAGCACTTTGGGAGGCCGAGGCGGGTGGATCACGAGGTCAAGAGATAGAGAACATCCTGGTCAACATGGTGAAACCCCGTCTCTACTAAAAATACAAAAATTAGCTGGGCATGGTGGCGCATGCCTGTAGTCCCAGCAACTCGGAAGGCTGAGGCAGGAGAATTGCTTGAACCCAGGAGGCGGAGGTTGTGGTGAGCCGAGATTGTGCCATTGCACTCCAGTCTGGGTAACAACAGCGAAACTCCATCTTAAAAAAAAGAAAAAAAAAAAAAAAAGAAAAGAAAAGAAAAAGAAAGAAAGAAAGAAAAGATCATGAAGGAAAGGGCAGACATAATTAACTTTTTCCCCGGAAGGTATTTTCTACAATGAATATTTTTATGTAATAAAAAATGAAATGACAAAAGTTTAGAATGTTTGTGAGTTTTATTCCTTAAATCCTTAATTATATTAATATCCATATGGATTAAGATACATATTTTTCCTCTATCTACATTTCTCCATTCTCAATATCTTAAATCCTGACATTAAATGTCATTACATTTCCTAAATTTCAAGAGAAAGACTGTTACCAAGGAAGACATAATCCATAACCTAGAGAGTGGGCAGCTTCTAATTGTCTTGACTACTTTTCTTCTTCCTGTTAACCAAATGTTCCTGTAAATAACTCATTTCTGTTGGTTTCAGGAAAGACGTGGGAGAAGGAAGAATTCCTGAATGGAGAGGACGCGTGACAAGACGCTCCGGGGTCTCCTCCCTCCTAGGGTCTGGTCTTGACGACCGCATCTCGTGTTTGGGAAGTGCCTTTCCCCATCAGATTCTTCTAAAGCCCAGCTGCACCACCCGTAAGTGGGCGGTAATGCTTCTGCCCCCGGGCTCCGCGTTTTTCCACCCGGCCCCACCTTTGCTGTGGACTAAACAGGACCCACTGGACTAGAGCACACTGGCTCTCGGCTCTGCGGACTCCAAGACTAAGAAAAAGCAGGGTTAGGTTGAAAGTCCACACAGGGCTTGCTGTAAACGTCTTTTCAGGAGCCACCCGCCCAGGGCAGTAAGTCGGGCACTTAGTTGACCCGGGCGCTCCACGGAGACGCCCGACCCTATTCTGCGCGGCCCCCAGGCACTAGCTCCGCTTCCCCCAAGTCCAGTGAGGCAGGAGCGCCCCGCTCCGGGATGGTCAATACCAAGCCACGAACCGCGCCGGGGGTCAGAGGACCCGGAGGTCCCGCCCAGCTGCCGGCTCAGCCTATCGCAGCGCAGCCAGGCGGTGGGACGGTGCCAGCTGAGCCCAGATCCGATGTTTCAGAGGCAGAGTCAGGCGAAACTGGGCCAGAACCGCGACCTCCGCAACCTGAAGAGCAGCCTCCGCCGAGTGCGCCTGCGCAGCTACGACCGCAGCAGGAAAGCGCCGCCCGGCAGGCCCAGCTGTGGCCGGACCAGGACTGGAAGAGAGGACGCGGTGGAGGAGGTGTGCATCAGCCCCGGGAACGAGAACGTGTGCCCTTAGCTCTGCCGGCCTTGAGGTGGGGAAGCGGGGGAGGGCCATTGAGGACCCCCCGGAGGCGCGGAGACCACGCGGGCGGGGTCCCAGGTTGAGCGGGCCGGCCAGCCTCCGGGCGGGGTGGACGCCAGTATCGCAGCCAGGCCGCGCGGCGCCGACTTGGCCTGACCCGGCCAGACCGGGAAGCTCGGCCTCCGCATGCCAGACGGCGGGATTCCTGCTGGCGTCACCGCAAACATCCTCTGACCGCTACAGACTGTGTGTGGAGCAGGCGGCAGGTCCCCGGCACTGCCACGCCGGCAGCCCGCGCAGGGCGCTGGCTTCCCGTGTGCGGCCACTTGACCCCGTCCCTGATTTAGGGGAGCAATTTGGGGTGTCCGCAGCACAGGCCGAAGTGAGTGAAGGAGGGAGCAGTACGTGCTCTCCTTCCCAGTTTTTCTTGGGAAAGCATTTCAGAAAGATTTCCTATAAGAAGGAGAGGTTGGCCCGGGCGCGGTGGCTCACGCCTGTAATCCCAGCACTTTGGGAGGCCGAGGCGGGTGGATCACGAGGTCAAGAGATCGAGACCATCTTTGTCAACATGGTGAAACCCCGTCTCTACTAAAAATACAAAAAATTAGCGGGGCATGGTGGCGCTTGCCTGTAATCCCAGCTACTCAGGAGGCTGAGGCAGGAGAATCACTTGAACCCAGGAGGCGGAGGTTGCGGTGAGCCGAGATCGCGCCGTTGCACTCCAGCCTGGGTAACAAGAGCGAAACTCCGTCTCAAAGAAAAAAAAAAAGGAAAGAAGGGGAGGTTGGTCGGGCGTGGTGGCTCACGCCTGTAATCCCAGCACTTTGGGAGGCCGAGGTGGGCAAATCACCTGAGATCAGGAGCTCAAGACCAGCTTGGCTATGGTGAAACCCCGTCTGTACTAAAAATACAAAATTAGCCCAGTGAGGTGGTTGGCACCTGTAGTCCCAGCTACTCGGGAGGCTGAGGAAGGAGAATGGATTTAATCCCGGAGGTGGAGGTTGTCGTGAGCCTAGATCACACCATTGTACTCCAACCTGGGCAACACACCAAGACTATCTCAAAAAATTTTTTTTAAAGAAGTTGGAAAACATATCTCATCTTCTGCTGTTTGTTAGTCAAGAAGGTGTGTGAAGACCTCTTAACTCTTGGGGGTCTCTTTGCCCCTAGTTGGGATCACACCTTATCATTAGTGAGGTTTTGCCTGGGCACTAAACGTGGATTTTTTGCCATTGGTACAAAACCTGGATCAACTGTTTCCTGGTTTCCTAGTTATTGCCTTAAGCTTCTCACCCACAAGGTACTTTCTTACCTTTCTCATAACCTAAATTATCGTCGCATAAACCGTTTCAACTCCTACAGCTCTGGACAGGCTGCTTTTCATTTGGTGGATCCATCCAGCACCTCCACTTGCCCTGTTTTTTTCCAACTACATCCTTGGCCTCTTCCGCAGTCCTTGGGTAAATGCTTGGGATAATCATTTAAATATCTGTATTCTACCATGGTGGCCCTAGTACCTCAGAGGGCAGTAAGATGGCTTTTTAGTACTAGTCTAATCAGATCCTCATTTCTTTTCCCTTCTTAGGTTTTGAAACATGAATCCTACACTTATCCTCACGGCGTTTTGCCTGGGATTAGCCTCATCTGCTTTAACATTCGATCGCAGTTTAGAGGCACAGTGGATCAAGTGGAAGGCGATGCACAACAGATTATACGGCATGGTTAGTGGCACCTGAAACTGCTTCAGAAAGAACAGGCCTTACTGTTGAGAAGTTATAGCCAGAGAGTAGCTTCTGGAGGCCAGCTTTTACCAATAGTATAATGTAATACCCTAAGGGCACTGATTATGAGCACAACGTGGGCATTCATCCCTGTGTGTCTCAGTTTGGAGAACAGCAGCTCCCAGAGGTGTCAGGCCTTCCCTTGCCATGGTTTCTCTTCCATCTCTGTCTGCAGATTCACTTGGTGAGCATGAGTTGGGTTTTAGGTAGTTATAAAGAGCATCAGTTACATATTTTCCTCTAGAATGAAGAAGAATGGAGGAGAGCAGTGTGGGAGAAGAACATGAAGATGATTGAACTGCACAATCATGAATACAACCAAGGGAAACACAGCTTCACAATGGCCATGAACGCCTTTGGAGACATGGTGAGTGTGCTGTGGACTGCTGAACTCCTGTGCTTCCCCTCCTCCCTTTTGTACCAAAGTAATCTCTTGCTCTGCAACATTTTGTTTACTTTTCCTTGAAGACCAATGAAGAATTCAGGCAGGTGATGAATGGCTTTCAAAACCGTAAGCCCAGGAACGGGAAGGTGTTCCAGGAACCTCTGTTTCATGAGGCCCCCAGATCTGTGGATTGGAGAGAGAAAGGCTACGTGACTCCTGTGAAGAATCAGGTGAGACAGTGTTAGGTTCAGACCTCCCATCTTCCCAGGAAAGCCAAGAAGCGATTGACATCTTTGTTTTGGTAGACTTTAAAGCGATGTGCAGTTCACTTTTTAAGAGTATTCAGATATGTGAGCTGTAAAGTCTTACTATTTGTTTTTGCAAATGACAGCTTTTTAAATTTCCTCTTTAGGGTCAGTGTGGTTCTTGTTGGGCTTTTAGCGCGACTGGTGCTCTTGAAGGACAGATGTTCCGGAAAACTGGGAAACTTGTCTCACTGAGTGAACAGAATCTGGTAGACTGCTCTGGGCCTCAAGGCAATCAGGGCTGCGATGGTGGCCTAATGGATTATGCCTTCCAGTATGTTCAGGAGAACGGAGGCCTGGACTCTGAGGAATCCTATCCATATGAGGCAACAGTAAGTGGAGCTCTTCATCTTATCATTCCAGCTCAGCTTCTGGAAAGTGGAACACTTTCAGAGATAACAGATACCTTTTTCAGAATTAATATATTAGGGCTGGATGGGGTGGCTCACACCTGTAATCCCAGCACTTTAGGAGGCTGAGCCGGGCAGATCGCTTGAGCTCAGGACCAGCCTAGGCAACAAGGTAAAACCCTGACTCTATCAAAAATAATAAAATTAGCTGTCTGGGGTGATGTGCATCTGTGGTACCAGCTAGGCTGAGGTAGGAGGATTGCTTAAGCCTGGGAGGTGGTTATGCAAATGCACTCCTGTCTGAGTGACAGAGTGAGACCCTGTCTCAAAAAAAAAGAGGGAAAAAAAAAATTCACAGATGGTAGAATCTATCTGCAAATTGTCAGTACTGTCATTATAAATTATTAAGCCTTTGTGCAGTCCGGTGATTAGATGGTTAACAGACAACTGTTCTTGCTTCTATGTAATATGAAGAGTATACAAACCATTCTACATCTACACATTTCTTTATTGTGAAAAATTTCTTATGGTAATAAACCTGGGGTCTCATGGAAGAGACTGGAGCCAATTTTCAGTTTCAAATTAACTAACAGCATTTCACGCCCTGGGATGATTTATAACAATGGTGACTTGGAAATCCTAAGCTGCAAACTGCTGAGTGTTGTGGTTCTAACTCCTGTTGCCCAGGAGAGCAGTAATCAAGTCCTTTTTGCCCTTTATCTTTGAAAGGAAGAATCCTGTAAGTACAATCCCGAGTATTCTGTTGCTAATGACACTGGCTTTGTGGACATCCCTAAGCTGGAGAAGGCCCTGATGAAGGCAGTTGCAACTGTGGGGCCCATTTCTGTTGCTATTGATGCAGGTCACGAGTCCTTCCAGTTTTATAAAGAAGGTAAGTATTTTTTTCTTTGTAGAAATTGATGCAGAAAGAGAGTATGACATACTAGCATGATAGACTCTGGTTTGTAAAGTTCAATGTAGATACTTAGGTGCTTAGCATCATAGCTATTAATTCTGTACATGCAGTATTTATACCTGATGTTTCCATTTGACATGTTGAACACATCTCCATGAATATAAGTACTTTGTAACTTTTTATAAATTACAAATACCCAGCTATATTATTTACTGGGTAGTTTAATATACTTAAATATTCTGTGATTGTCGAATTTTTGTAATTTTTACAAAGATTTTACTTCTGTTTTTAAATCCGAGAAGAGCCTTTTGATTCAAGGATTTTGGTGTTCTATGCTGTGTTTTTAGATTGATAGCCTAGAGTAGAATTACAAGCTTTCAAAGAATGGTCCTTTATTCCCTTAGCAAAGTCTTTATATGAAGGATTTATGTTGATTTCTATTTCTGCTAGTTGTAGATGAGAGCCAAAATCCCTAGCCTTGACAACAATAGATCTAATTGTTAAGTACTATCTAGAATGTGTGTCACTTCACTGAATTCAGAGATGCCTCATTCCCTGTGGGTGACAGGATGGGTTACTGTCATGGTCCTCTGCAGCTTCTCACCCCAGCCTTCATTTTACTATCCCAGGCATTTATTTTGAGCCAGAATGTAGCAGTGAAGACATGGATCATGGTGTGCTGGTGGTTGGCTATGGATTTGAAAGAACAGGATCAGATAACAGTAAATATTGGCTGGTGAAGAACAGGTATAAATTGCCAATAATACTTATATTTGAAATTCAAAAGAGAGTACTTATTTGCAATCAGTGTTTGTATAGTTTCACATGCCCTTAGGCATACTTCTGAAATCCCAGAACTCTAAGTTGAACATAGAATGTTAATGTTGGATTATAAAGGTAAGGATGCTGGGTGTATTAATATAGTATTTGTACCATTGTACAAATGTGTATCTAAATCTGAACATTTTCTTAATTCTGAGGCATATCTGGCTGCAAAGACATCCTATTCCTTTCCTGTCTCTGATTGGCAGTTCTGTGAAATGTCATAGTTTTGAGACTGGGATGGAAGTTATGTGCAGATTCAGCCTCAATAATTTTTTAAGGATAAACAGGAACATGGCCTCTCTTGATTCTTTCTGTTAAGTCTGTGGCCTCTGGCACAGTGTTTAAGTTGGATGTTCCTGTTAATAACCCTTTGGGCTTTATTCTTTCTCTGACACGGAAAACCTGCTGTTTTTTCAGCTGGGGTGAAAAATGGGGCATGGATGGTTACATAAAGATGGCCAAAGACCGGAAAAACCACTGTGGAATTGCCTCAGCAGCCAGCTACCCCACTGTATGAGCTGATGGACAGTGATGAGGAAGGACTTGACTGGGGATGGTGCATGCATGGGAGTTCATCTCAATCTTCCAGCCCCTGCTGTGATGGATACACACTCGAATCATTGAAGATCCAAGTGTGATTTGAATTCTGTGATATTTTCACACTGGTAAATGTTACCTCTATTTTAATTACTCTATAAATAGGTTTATATTATTGATTTGCTTACTGACTTTGCATTTTTGTTTTTAAAAGGATGTGTAAATTTTTACCTGATTAAATAAATGTAATTTCAAATGTAGTGGCAAGGCTTCTTTCTATTTTTGATGCACTGAATTTTTGTGTAATAAAAAACATAATTAGGCTGTAAGCCCTACCTGCTGCCAGTGGCTCTCTAGGAGGAAGAGTGGGCGACCTTCTGGGTCTTCTAATTACAAACGTACAGATCTCACATCAGCTGCCCAGTGGCTGTGTCTGAGTCTGACTCAATCGTTGATTGGAGCAAAATTTGAAAATGATCTCTGAGGACAAAGGAAAATTGTTTGAATAAAGAAAAAAATTCACTTTTTAGAAAGGTGAACAGACATATATATGATTTTAATACTAGAAAAAGACCTTAGTGATTGTGTTTATTTCACCCAAGTTGGTTGCATCTTTAGTCAAGTTACAGGACAAAGGTCTCAGAGCCTATTTCTGGATCATCTTATCCCACTGCTGGTGAAGACCCTGTTGACACTTTGCAGTCGAGTTGGGTTAGGAACGAGTGCATTGCCAAGGCTGTTTGTTTTTGGGTCCTCAAGGGATGAGGAATAAACTTCAGGATTTCAGGCTGGGATTCAGAAATGGTGCTCTGGTGTCAGAAGGCAAAAGACAGGTGAGAGGCTCAGAAATGATCATCTGTCCCCCATTTAGAGCAAATTACCTGTAAACACCTGAATTACTGCTTAAATAAAAAAACTTCCCACATTGTACTAGCTAAACAGCCCATACTTCCATCACCTGTGTGTTTTCAGAAGTCTCATGTTCCAACTGAAGGAAATAGAAAGAACAGGTGAGACTGTTTAGTGACTAGACTACGTAATCCCAGAGGAGGGAAACCAGATGCCCAGTGGAGTCTCAGCTCAGAAAGCATGCAGCAGGGTCTGTCCAGTTCTGTCTGGATTGGACCATGTGCCATGCTGGATTCTCATGTGCCCTTTCTGAGTAGTTGCTAAAATTTCAAAGTTTTTGGCCTAAAATGACAAATATGGCATCTGTGAAATTCTTTGGGTTTTGTAATAAAAGTCACCAGTGGTAGCAAGAAGATTTAGGGAGGTTCCCAAGCTAAATCCCTCGTTCAGGTTGAAGCTTAGATTTGAGACAACTAGAATTTATATACAATACCCACTGCGTGCTGGTCATCACTACTATGGAAGAGACACACCCTGACCTCAAGGAATTGAACTGTTAGGGATCAGGGAGGGCTTCCAGGAAGAAGTTAAAACAGATGGCTAGAGCAGTTGGTCAATAAAGATGAAGAGGTGAGCACCAGCAGAGACTAGCACACCCTGAGAAAAGACCCTGTGGTGAAAAGACCGAAAGTCCCTGGGTCCAGGTGTTCCAGAGGGAGGTTTTCAGGATAAAGGAACCACTGGGAAAACAGTGAATAGATTGTTTTGGTTGTCTGTTTAACAGTAAAACACACCATCCAGAAACCCCACAGTTTGGAATGTTTGGAAGAAACATCTGTCACATTTTCTGCCTGGACTCACTTGGAGGTCTCTTATCTGTGCTTGAGACATTTGTAGGTTTGACTGGACTGGACATCTGTGAGGGCTCACTCCCATGGCTGGCTGCAGATTGGCTGGACATTCAGTTTGGGCTGTTGACCAGAGTACCTGCCTGGGGCCTCTCCATGGCTTGGGCTTCCCACAGCATCGACAATGGAGGAAATATATATATAGTGAAATTCAGTGTTCAAAGCTTGCCAACTTCGAAGGTGTATATGTATACCTTTAAACACTGAATTTCACAATTGTTCACGATGATTTGTGAATAAGTTAATAAGAAAAATGATTTCCAGGAGACTTGGTCTTTTCTCCAGTACTACAGTTTAAACATTCCATAATTCACGTTTAAAATTTTTTATTTACACTTTCAACAAGTATTCATTGAGCACCATGTATGAGGCAGTGCTGAGCTGCCAACACAAAAGTGAAGCAAATACTCATAACCCCTTCCTCTGTAGCTCACGTTCCTATGTGAACAAGCAAATCAAAGCCTGGCAGAAACCCAAGGGCAAGTGCAGCGCTAGGGAGGTCTCAAGGGAGCCCAGGGACAGTCAGGGCACACACCAGGGACATGTCACCCTCTAGGGTCAGAGTAGGTATGAGCAGGGGCCATCTGATGCCAATTTAAAGTGTTTATAGCTGTTATATCTTGGGCAGGATATGAGGGGACAGTTTCTCTTTGTGTGTATTATTTCAATTTTTAAGTAACGGACCTTCATTATTTTCACAACATAACAGATTCAGATCAGAAAGTATGCAGTTCAAAAAAAAAAAGTTAAAAGAATTGATAAAGGAGGAGGAGGAAGAGGTGGAGAAACAGGGTCCTCAGATAACTTGATAAAGGTGAGTGTCCCGTTTGGGGACTGATGTTCCTGAGATCTGCACGAACGCTGCTCAGCGGGTCCATCACACAGCGCAGGCGTGAGGAAGCGCCACTGCCCAGCTGGACTCCAGGGCGCTCCACCCATGTCTCAGTCAGACAGAACCTCTCTGAGGATGGTGGCTGTTGGCTCCAACTGACCATTCCCAGGCAAGAGAAACGGGGGGCTTTGCTAAGGGCTAAAGGAAAGGAGGGATGGACAATGAGGGGATGGACCAGGAACAGTTCTAATGAGGCTGCTTTAGTGAGGACGCAGAGTGGCTCTGCTCAGCAATCCAGAACACTTGCTCCCTTCAGCTGCCCCACTCCCCACAACCATGCACACTCCCCTCATCCCAACCTGGGGCAGCATGTTGAGCTCTTAACAGAAGAGCTCTTTCCCTGGCGTTTTATATTCTTTCCTCTTCAGTCACATTCAAAGCAGCACAAATTGCAAATCACCCAGTACTCAGAGGAGTCCAATATAGGTAAAAAATAAGAGCAAATTCGGCGTCACGAAGCGGTTTCTTGGCGCCACTACGCGCGGGAAGATGGCGGAGCTGGCCACCAAGTCTGTGCTGTTTGTGTGTCTGGGTAACATTTGTCGATCACCCATTGCAGAAGCTTTCAGGAAACTTGTAACTGATCAAAACATCTCAGAGAATTGGAGGGCGACTTCCAGGTAGGAGATAGGGAACCCCCCTGACTACCGAGGGCAGAAATGCATGAAGAGGCACAGCATTCCCAAGAGCCACGTTGCCCGGCAGATTACCAAAGAAGATTTTGCCACATTTGATTATATACTATGTATGGATGAAAGCAATCTGAGAGATTTGAATAGAAGAAGTAATCAAGTTGAAATCTGCAAAGCTAAAATTGAACTACTTGGGAGCTATGATCCACAAAAACAACTTATTATTGAAGATGCTTATTATGGGAATGACTCTGACTTTGAGGCGGTGTACCAGCAGTGTGTCTGGTGCTGCAGAGCGTTCTTGGAGAAGGCCCACTGAGGCAGGTTCGTGCCCTGCTGCAGCCAGCCTGATTAGACCCCACCGAGAGGCCCTGCGTTTCCCAGTCAGTGTGTAATAATGTTCCAGAGCCCAAAGCCCCAGCTCTTTGTTCAGTTGACTTACCGTTTCTTACCTTAAAAAATAATTGTAGGTGGAAATCAGTTGTGATTGGCAGAATAATAAATAAAAACCTTGGATTCAGGCAAAAAAAAAAAAAGCAAATTCTTGGCTTTGGGTCCGTAATTCTTCTGGAAAAAAAAAAAATTCCTAGCAGCAACTTCCTGTTTCCATTACAGCATGGATGAAATTTGGAAGTTGTAACCATCTACTAATAAAACTCTGAAGAAATCTTAAAATCAACAACTCTTCTTAGATCCCTAAGACAAACAAAGTCATGGAGCAAACCACTGCCCTAATAACTGGAGAGAGAAAGGAATACCAAGAATCACAATTCACAGGAGCAGAGACCTCTGCAGGAACAAGTGCCTAGCAGGAAAAACCAAGCTGTAACTGACAAATTGCTGGAGGCAGGGTATGGACAAGTCTGAGCATTAAAACTCAGTGGTGGGTTTGGTCCAGGGTTCCGTCCTGGGGGTAACCTCAGGTTGCAGAGCTTCAGTAGCTCCACCAGACTCTCAAAGTGAAAATCTGAGAATTCCCTTATGAATCCTGCAGGGGAAGGGAAAAGTAACAATTTTGGAACCCGCCAGCGCGTTCTTTTCTTCTTAAGTCCTACACTCAAGAGACACTGTTTTACCAAACTCTAACCTATTTGGGTTTTATCAAAGCTTAACCAATCTGAGGGGTGGAAATATCCAACTCCAGCCTGCTTTAGCCTTCCAGGTGGAGAAGGGTAGGACCCAATATCAGCCTACTTTGGCCACACTGTTCTATCTAAGGAGGGAAAAACTAAGAAGCACTTGTGAATTCCATGGCGCAGAAACACAGACTTGTTAAAAAAACTGCAACTCATAGGACCAAGGAGTGCTTCTCCTAAACCACACCATCACTTTCCTAGCAGGTCATTTATCAGAGTTTCTTTCACCGTACGAGTTCCTCTTTCAACAGAAAATTACAAGGCATTCTAAAAGGCAAAAGGTGAGGCAGGAAAATAGGGTCTGGAGGCAGGGAACATAAGGCAGATTCACACTTCAGCTATGACAAGAAATATCCTCTCCCTAGGGTGTAGGCCAAGTAAATGACATTGTAACTTTATACTCTCCATTTACATATGGCAAACCCCAAGTAACCAATGGAATCCTCTTGAGGGTTTTTGTAAAAATTCTGTAAAGGGGTCTTTGAGTCCGTATGCTCAGGCCCTCCCCCCCAACTATGGAGTATTTTCAATACAACACTTTAGTCCTTCCTTGCTTCGTTTGTGCATTTTGTCCAATTCTTTGTTGAAGACACCAAGAACCTGGACACCCTCCACCATTAATAAAAGCACAACCTGAAGAGACAAAACCAGCCTCACAGTAAGAATTAGATTTGTCATGGGTCCCAGGAACTTGAAATAGCTATGATTACTATGCTAAGGGTTAATGGAAAAAATAGCAACCTGAGAACACATGGAGAAGGTAAAAAGAGAGATTAAAATTCTAAGAAAGAATAAACAAAATGGTCCCCCAAACTACAGGGTTAAGTTGTTCTCTGAAGCTGC